AAACCAACATAAAACTCACACACCCTTATTACAACTCATCTCCTCAAGAACCTCAAATTTACATCCACAAATCCAAGCTTAAAGTTGGCTAGAAATTAATGGAGAAGAGTTTGAGAGCTTACCCTTGAAGAACTATCTCTCTCCCTTGAAAACTTTGAACTCCTCTAAGATTTGTTATTGGCTTGGAACTAGAAAGTATAAGGAAATTTAAGAGGAATATTTCTACATTTCAAACTTTACTAAAACATAAAAAAAGGATTTAGAGTTATACCCTTTGAAAAAATGCTTGTCTAGACTCCTCCTAGACCCTTTGGTCTCCTTCTTCTTCTTCTATGGTTTGTAGTGGCTCAAGATTGGGGGAGTAGGAGAAAATATTTGAGAAAGAGTGGAGGAGTATGGTATGGCCGGATTTTGAGGGGAAGAGAAAAGCTAGGGAAAAAAATGAGGCTTATCCTATGGTGGTTCCTTTTATAGGCACTTGGAAATTATTTTTTTAACACCACATCAACTCTCTCAATCAACCAAATTTTGGTTCAATTTTCCCCAATCTTGGCCGGTTATGGAAGGAGAAAAGGAGAAGCCAAAATTGCCATTAATTCCCCTTCAACCACTACCATCCCATCACCTTAACTTGTAGCCTTCTAACATACTCAACATATAACCAAAATTTTTGGATATAACTTCCTAAGGATGGCCGGCCAAGTGAAGAGAAAAAGGAGAAAAAAACTAATCATTAGTCCTATTCACCTCTCTCATCACATCTCATCAAATCACACACACTAACCTACACCTTGTACTTTTGTCCATTCTCTTAACTTACTCATTAAAACTGTCCAAGATTATACTGACAGTTGTTTTCTCTTGTATACGGGTTCTGGATGCTAGGTTGTACTGTGCTGGGAGATTCTTAAAATTAAGATTCTCTAACTGTATCTATACTGGAAATTCTTCCGTTTTAAAGTACGGTGAGAATTTATCGATCGAATTTACTTGATCGGAAAAATGTGAACTTAACGTGAAATCTGCTACAGAATTTAGGAATGCAGAAGTTAATTTCATAAATCCTTCAATCACAAAATGTACCTACTATAATGATTTTCCAGGAAAATCCTTGACTCAAATACATGAATTACATTATTAAAATCCTGAGATTTTCCTAGTCATTACACAAACAATTGAAGAACAAATATTAGCAAATAGAAGAACAATAAACGAACTCAAAACATTGGATGCACAAAATAATCTGGTTAGTACTATTAACTTTCTTATCAGTTTTTTACTACACTTAGTAAACAATTTAAAACTACAATATTCTATCTTTTGTGCAAGGCGAAAAATTCACTGTAAGAGCAACCATAGTAAACTTTCAACATCTCAAGGATGGTTCTACAATTCTTGCCCCAGATGTTATTGACAATTAAAACAAGCAAGAATAGGCTGGTGGTGCGACAGTCATGGCCATATAAAGTCAACGCCATCTCCATGGTAAATAAATTTATTACCGTACCATTTTTATTTATTATATATCTTTATTTACTTTAACAAAAACTTAATAACATTAATATATATATATATATATGTGTGTGTATTACAGGTATAGATTAACAATTCAAATTGAAGATCATACTAGAGACATAGAAGTTATCGCTTTTGGTAGAGTCGCTCAGGCATTAATAAAAAAACCATGTTCTGCACTAACAATTGACGAAGGCTTTACCGATCCATTTATAATACCACCAGCTATCGATCAGATCCGAGGACAACCAAAAATCTTTCAAGTCTTGTTTCAACAACGAGGCACCCAAATGAGTACATTAATTTCCAAAATATTTGAAGACATTCACGTTCCATCATCGCCACCAAAACAATTAACTACAGGAACAGAAGAACCATAAAGGTAAATAATGTCTTTAAATTTTTTTACCAACTATCATAAATAACATTTATATTATATTAATCACAATTTTAAAAATCTTCTCATCTTTCAGCCCACAGGCAATACCGTCATCACAGCTATCAACACCAACCACATTTGATCCACACACTCCAACACCCAAAAAACCTGGCACAAGGTAAACCACATTCACCACAACAAAGATTATCAATTTATTTAAAAACATATCTACAAATTATTCTATTTTTTCAGTCATGAATCAAGAACAACAAGACAATCTACAAAACGCCCAAGAACAAGGTAATATAAACATTTTTATAATATTTATTTCATACTATATAATTTAACCATCTTTATTTCTCTTAACACTTATATTTACAACCATTTTCCCCATTTTTATACTTGCAGCTGAAAGAAATGAAATGCTTAGGGACCACAACAGCGTTGTTTTTTACTCTGTACATTCTGCATATATATAAATATTATAAATAATAACACTATATATGTCTGTATAAATATGTTTGTATAAATTTTATATCTACCATATAATACAATACTGTATAATACATGTATATATATAAATATACTTTAAATATAACTACCATATAATATAATACTGCATTCCGCAGCAACGCGCGGACCTCACGCTCGTATAAACTAAAACTATGATATGAAATTATACTAAAATACAAATGACCATTAAAAAAATTACAAAAAAATCAAAGTACGTTTCAAAAAATACTTATACATACCTTCAGTACCTATTATATATATGTATATATTTAATAAATAATATTAGTTTAAAACTACAATTTGTCCAGTCTAATTATTGAAGCCAGAAAGTTTTAGGGAGCAGATAAAAAAGGAAAGCAAGCGTTTGAATACTACTGTTTTTAAGTAATTTGTTAATGTTCGAGCGTAAAAGGAACAAATGAAAATGAGTAATCAAAATTTATGCAAGCTCCGATTCAGAACACTCCCATTTGTGCATGTCTCCAAGGCCGATCTCTTTGTATCTCTTTCATCTAAATAAGGTATGACGTGGCGCCTCTTTCTGCCTTCCACTCTGAAGGAATACCTACTATTAAAAAAAAAAAATTAAGTATTTGGTTCATGGATTAGAACCGTGTTATTAGAATTATTTTCAATTTACGTGTATTTTTTATGAGAGAAAATATTATAACGAATCACGAACCATGATTCGAATCAGGAAATGAATCCTTTAACCAAACAACATATTATCTGACCAATTTTATTTTTACGTCACAGTATTAATTGCTTTATAAAGTAAGTCAAAAGTGGGAGGCTATCAGAAACACTGTTAGAATCTGATAATCTATCTATTTTTAATTTTCAAAATAGTATTTAATTAATCTCATTAAAAATGTCATTAAATGTCCTCTTAAAAAGATGAATTAAATAGTTAAAAAGATAAAGTTCAATTTCTTTTCTCAACCCATAACCAATATGAGTTCGAAGTTTTCTTTCTAACTCCCGAAACTCTCTTCTTAGTGACTATGTTCCATGGAAGCCTCAAAATGGCTCTATTTCACTATATTCCGACCATACCCAGCCATTCATTTACTTTAAAATTTTTTAATTAACCTATAATAGTATGAGGTGTAAACTTTGATTGCTCAGCCTGGTCCCATAAGCCTAAATGATGAAATTGGACTTGCTGCCTGGAAAGGTCAATCCAGTCTAATCTTAAAACTGAATGGTCTGTTCTTTTAGAGTATAATTTGAGTGTAATTTTTAAGTTGAATTTGAGTTATAATTTGAGTTGAAATTGTAACTTGAATAAAGTTGAGTAAAATTTAAACTTAAAAGAACATGAACTTGAATAAAATTAAAACTTAAGTTGTTTTTTTTAAGTTTTTTTGACAAAAGAACAGCCGAAGAGATTGAGATAAGGCTAGATTGATCCAAAATTGCACAAAGGACTTGCACAAAAAAAAAAAAGAGTACTATACAACATTTTTATAAAACTAAAAATTAAGTAAATAATATTTTTAAAACACTAAATTAAATTAAGTAAATAACATTTTTATGACACTAAATTAAATAAATAATATGACATTTATGCGTGAGCAATGACATCATTTAGCATTAAATTAATTAAATTAAATAAATAAATAAACATTTAAAGTAAATAGTAGTAAAAAAGATATTTTATCCCGTAAATTTGTTGGATAGCTAGAATTTTGTAGAAGCAAACTAAAAACAAGAGAAAGTCCTACTAAAATCGAGTGGGCGTAATGTAAATCTTCTTTAAATTTCCACATACGACACACAACTTCTCTTATTTACATTTAGCATTGACCTTTATGGAGAATCTATGCGTGAGCAATGACATCATCACCGTGAAACCTAGAAAACACTTGAGTCTTGTTGATTTGAGTTTAAAATTTAAATTTTTTTACGGTAAAAAACTCTCATAAATAATTATATTTAATTTTTTTATTATAATAAAAAATTTTCATATAATATTATATCTCAACTTAAATTTTAAACTCAAATCAACAAAGTGAACCAGCTTTAAAACACCAGCAAATAGAACAAGGGAATGGTCCTCAATCTCTCACTCCATATCTGCTATCCATTCCTGCGTTTCTATACTTGACGACCAGGTGTTCGACAAAAGATTGCAAGGATGGACGAGGTGATTCTTCTCGATTTCTGGGTCAGCATGTTCGGAATGAGAGTCAGAATAGCCCTGGCCGAAAAGGGTATCAAGTATGAGTACAAAGAAGAGGATCTGAGAAACAAGAGTGTTCTTCTTCTTCAGATGAATCCAATTCACAAGAAAATTCCAGTTCTCATTCACAATGGAAAACCCATTTCTGAATCTCTCATAATTGTTCAGTACGTTGATGAGGTTTGGAATGAAAAGGCTCCATTGCTTCCTTCTGATCCTTATCAGAGAGCCCAAGCTAGGTTCTGGGCTGATTTCATTGACAAGAAGGTACTCACTTATTCTAGTTCATTTTTTTTTTCCAATATTTTGATTTCAAGATTAATTAGAAATACTCTCAATATAATAAGACCCAATTCAAGCATTTTTTATTCTTTTATTTGAGCTTCATGATCTATTGCAATAAATTGTTCCTAATTTTGTTTTCCTGGTCGAGTATCGGCAGTGGGTTTTTGTCCTTTTTGATTGGTGATTTGGTCTTTTTCAATAGATTTGGATTCAGCGAAAAGAAAAGAGAAGAAAAGAAAAGCGTTAAAGACTAATTTTTGTGTTTTCAAGATCACCATTGAATGAGTTTTTCTAAAAGAAAAAAGAATTATTGATTAGTATAGCAAGACAAAAGCTTGCCTCTTTTTTTTTTTTTTTTTTTTTTTTGTACTCCTCTGTTTTTGGACTTTTCTTTAACAAAGTATTTTGTTGGGATTACTTACATTTGATTGTACTTTTGACTTTTGGATCGAGTTTTCTATTACGGAACATTGTTATTTCTTTAGTTTGGGACTGTTGGAGTCATGACTATCAGAATTGGTTGATTTGTAGTCTAATTCTCTTTATCTTTTGGAAAGTTCAATTTTTAGAGTAGTCTGAGATTTGGTTAAAAGTACAAAGTACATGTAAAAGTAAAGTGCGAGATTGGATTTTGTTTGTGGGTGTTGAATGAATTGAGTATTACTTTTCAAACATCCAAATAATTAAATGAAAATACTGAGTAGAGTGCTAATAAATTATACATATTTGTCAATGATTACGATTTTGAAAAGACCTTTCAACTTGGAGAATGTTTTTCCCAAGTGAAATATTGAGAGCAAGTTTGCCGAAAAAGCTTTGTTAGACAACTGACACTTGTCATTAACAAAACACACTCAGTAGCCGGATAATCTTGAAAAGTTTCACTGATGCATCGAAACCGTTGAGTGCAGATGTACGATGCGGGGAGGAATGTTTGGACGACGAAAGGGGAAGAGCAAGAGGCAGCCAAGAAGGAATTCTTGGGCAATTTGAAGCTGTTGGAGACAGAGCTTGGAAACAAGCCGTACTTTGGGGGAGACAGCTTCGGGTTTGTGGACATCGCGCTTATTGGATTCTCATGCTGGTTCCACGCATACGAGACATTCGGCAACTTCAGCATCGAGGCCGAGTGCCCCAAGCTCATAGCGTGGGCCAAGAGGTGCATGGAGAAGGAGAGTGTCTCCAAGTCTCTCGCTGATGAGAAGAAGGTCTACGAGTTTGTTTCCCGAATGAGGAACAAGCTCGGAATCGAATAGAGGAAGAGAAGGGGGACACGCCATGACTAGTCCTAGATGATTGCGTATTACTACTCGTACTGCTTGTGTAAGTTCATTCTCTTGTTTTTGGTTTGTTGTTTGTTGTTTCTGTTGGGATTGTGTTTTCTTTTGAACGTTAAGCTCGCTGTGTTTTATAAATAGGACACTTTGGTGTGTCTTATGAATGTCATGTAAGTAGAGCTGTAGAGGTAATGTTTAATTTATGTTTAAAGGGGTTGTTAATTTACTTTAATTCTGAGCTGTAGAGCTGTAGAAATAAAAGAAAGCTCTTCTTTGGCATTTTGTTTAAAGGGGTTGTTAATTTACTTTAATTCTGAACTCTTCAGATCATATTTTGCTCTTTTTTTTTTTTCTCCCTGCTAATCGGATCATATTTTGCTTACTACCTTGTCGTTAGTTTTCTATCCTCTACTGCATATCTTCCTGTTCTTTTATTTGCTATTAATAAAATCTTAAATGAACGCCTCCGCAGAGGCCCACCTCATGCGTCTGTGTCTGTGGAGTCGCGGCTCTGCCGAGCTGTTTAGTGCTACTTTAGTTCTTTTAATGCTGTACCTCACTATTATTTATTCTAAGAAAAAAAATATCAATCCAAAAAACGACAACTAGAAACGGTCAGCAATCCGGAGGAGACAAAAATCAACACAAAAAACGGAAGGTAGTGCGTGTATTGACATTCATTTTTTTTTTTTTTACTTTTCACACTTTTTTTTAGTGTTATTAAAATACCCATTAATAAAATTACTTTTAAAGATAATAATATTTTTTTAAAATACTCATTACACAACCATCATTAGAAAAATATGTTGCCTTTTAAAATTTACCATGCCTACTTTTTTTAGAAAAATAAGGATGAATTCCAACGAGCCTCTCCACAACAAGTACGTGGTTAAATTTCTCTTAAAAATTATGTTTTTAATCCAATTTTTAATGATTATATCATTAGTTCTAAAAAATTCATGATTCGTGAAAAAATTTTGAAGAGACAATAATATGACTATTCGTGAAAAAAAAAAATTTGAAAAAACTTTCTAAGAAATTCACGATTCGTAAAAATGGGTGTACGTAGAACTAAAAAGAAAAAAAAAGGGAAAGAAATTCGTGTACGTGATGAAGGGAAAAACATTTGAAAAACAAATGAAGGGAAAAATAATAATCGGCAAAGCTCCACGATGCTGCAATTCTTTAAAGTGCTACTAAGTACTAACATTATTTTCAAGCAAAATGTTGGTACCTTAAAAAAGTGAAACATTGGATTAAAAAAAAAAAAAAAAAGAATATAATAATAATAAGTAAAACATTCCTGCATAAAAAATAGACACATTCGGATTTCTTATAAAAGAAAAAAAAGAAGAAGAATGTGATAGAAAATAAAACTGAAAAAACATATGTTTTAAAAGAGGGGTTATCTATTTGTTGGCAGGATAAAAATTAATGATTAATTAAAGGAAGGAAGTAATTTTTAGTTGTAGGGATTTTTTTTTCCCCCGATATTAAGATAGCATGTCAAAAAAGCCAGAAAAAAAGCTGGCAAAAACAACCAAATACGAGGAAATTAGGTAGATGATGAGGGGGAGCGAAGGTCCGTCTTTCACTCCACATTATCTGATAGAGTAGTTATATTTGTACTCCAAAAATTTATAAATGTCCCCAATAATTAATGCTCTTCTAGTAAAAATTTGAAAAATCTATCCCTTTATAAATATAATTTTCTCAATATTTAATTTAACCCTTTCATACCCCTACTTAATTTTAATCTTAATTTAATTTATAAAAAAAAAGTTAATCTCTTTCAACTATTAATGGTATTTTTTTTTATATAATTAATGCAATCATCTTTATTTTTATTTATCAATTGTCATCGTCCTACCTCTTTCTTTCTTTTTTTTTGGTTAATACGATGTTCATTAAATAAGAACGAAACCTCCATAACACAAAAATGACTTTATGCGATTAACTAAAAGAAAAGACATATGCTCAGTGATGTTGATACATATAATTACGCTGAACGACTATGGCATATTCAAAACATGGCGGGTAGATTTAAGCTTCCAGGATGGACGACCTCGTGTATTTTTTATTCACTTTTGGTTCAACAAGAGATGTTGAACATTTTTCTTGACATCAGAAAGGGAAAAAAAAAAATAAAGAAATAAAAAAAGAAGCCTTTACTTGTTTGTGGTCACATTACCAAAGTGCATAACTGAGTTTGTCCATACAGAAACAAACTTATCTTTGCCTAATATCTTTCACATAGCAAATTGCCTCTGGATATATAATAAAATCTCTTTCAAGAGCTTTTTACTCCACTTCTGTAGAAATTAACACTGGAAATGAAATTAACTAGGATTTCTAAAGATGAAATTAGCTTTAATTAAAGATGTGGGGAATATTTTTTTATTCTTTGAAAAAAACTTTCTAATTATAGTCTTTAAAAAAAATACTATTTCTATTTATAGTTTATGTAGGAACACGTTCATGAGTTGTAGAGTAAAATTGTAATAAATATAGATTATGAATTAGTGGGGACATTAATGAATTTGGTGGGTTTTAATATAATACTAGAGCAGAAATACTAAAGCGGTCCACAAAACCAGAAACATTACAAGACAAGACAGAGCCGACTTTGCAAAGGTTATGGGCCATAATTCTACCCCTCCACTCAGTAATCTCCAACGCCATTTCAAGAGGGCGGCTCTATTTGACGCCTCTGCTGTATGAAAAAATGAACTTCATGTTTTGAGCATATTCCCGTTTCCAACTCTCCTTCCGTATCAGCCATCTTGCTTTCATACACTGCTTAGACCAATACTGAAATATCTTGCTCTAAAATTCGCTTTGTTTTCTACAAATAGAAATTTATGAGTTATTATGAGGATTCTTTTATGAAGTGGGAAATTGCATGTTTTAGTTAACTAAGAAAAATAAGGAACAGTTTACACTAAATTGTGACAAGCGTTAATCTAATCCAAGTTAGCCCATAAGTGAACGTCAGTAACAGCTTGTTAAATGATGCACGGGAAGCTACCTCTGTTTGGCACTTAGAATTATTACTTAGCCTTTATGTTATGTTTCTTCGTAATAAGCCAAGCGTAGTGTCGTTTATTAGAATGCGCCTGAAGTCGTTTGTACTATGCTGCAGGTCGTTTAGTGTTTAGGCCATTGAGTTGAGTTCGTCGCTGCTAGTCTTCTGACTAACTCCACTAGAATGACAAGAATTATTAAAAAAAAAAAATTGATTTTCTCATGAATTTGTTTTTCTCTCTTGTTTGATCAATATCTCCATTAGAAGGGTTCTATCTAGCTACAAGAAGATATTGATCAAACGAGCTAGCTTTTTACGCCACCAATGATCGATATTTGATTTTTTTTTTTTTTTTTGGACTAAAAAACTTGAAATTTCAATAACTTTCTTTGCTTTGCTTTCTTCCTTGTCTTGTGTTAGCATTGACCAACTTTACCAAAAGAAAGAAGACGGTAAGAAGATGCGACATTATTATACTCGCACACAAAATTGAATGATATGCTGAAATGGTTCTGCCGTGCAATCAGACTGCGTCTTGAGAAAAGCAAGCAACTAGAAACAATCAGCACGCTGTAAAGAGAAATCAACCCCAAAACGGGAAAAACACAGGCAAACATTGAAAAACGACAAATATCAAAATAAACAACAACAATATCTAGAAAACGAGAAATCCTCTGAAAATTACATCTCAAGGGCCTAAATGTAGCCTCAATCTCAAATGCATGCGAACCTGAACAAGCAAAAAAATATAGCTAAACTTATCAGCACAGAAGACCATGAAGATCGGTTTGGAAAGAAAAAAAAAGAGGGGGTAACTTTCGAAACAAAGGTTTCCTTTTCAGAAATAATCAGAAGAAAAAAAAAATAGAAAGAAATAAATAAACTAAAGCAAAGAAATTGATCAGTGTCTGGATGAAAGTAAAGCAAGTACACGAGTAATTGCACTTGACACCGTCTTCAAGGACGGCATATGGCATGCATAAACCCTAGTTAGAGACGGTGGGAGAGTCGGCAAAGATGTAAGTTTTGAGCAATAATAAACACTGAGTACTTTTAGAGCGTTTAAATTAGCGATGCTTTCTGTGAGAAACTCAAGATTTGGACAAAATTGCAGGGTCAATACTCTAAGCCCAGTTAAATTCTTAATTCAGTGGGGTAGCTCTTTAATCGCTACACACACTAACTGAAGAACTTTTAGGCACTCCATAGTCTTCATAATTTCTGGAAATTTTTCGAGCTTCGAATTAATCTCAATATCCGCATGATCGCAATCTGGTCCCCAATCAAAATGAGGTAATTGCGGATACGCTCTAGTTGAGGAGCTTATATGACCCTCACAACTCAAACATCTCGGAACATCGTAGCACTTATGTTCCAATGATGGGGTGTACACTTTTAAGCTGCCTAAATTTTTTGGAAGCACTGACAACTTGCAAAGAGAAGAGCATCCAGTGAAGGAGAGATCTTCAAGCTTGTTGAGATATTGAAAAGATGAAGGAGCTTCAACTAAATTCTCACAGAAGTCAAGATATATTCTCTCAATATTTGGAGCCATTGACAGATCTGGAACTCGAAGTAGATGCCTGGAGCCTTTGAGATTGATACTTTTCAAGTTCTCCAAATGATGTAACAAAAGAGGCAAAACTCGAATAACTCTAAACATGTACCTTAAAAGTCATTATATTTAAGCCAAAAAAAAAAAAAAAAGTAAAAAGTAAAGCATACCACGACACCGTCCCAAAGCTGCTTAAGCTAACTGCGTGGCATGTCAAGTTCAACAAGGTTCTTTGCTGTAAAATCTTTTGATAAGGATTTCAAAGGGTATGCATCCCATTTGAGATACCTAAGTGAATTAGGAAAAGGCAGAGGACCTTGAGGAAGGGATACTTTTCTCTCATTTATCATGAGCAACCTTAGTCTGCACATCTGTGAAAAGGTGCCAGGCGTCAAGCTGATCTCTTCATTTAATTTTGATGTATCTAGAGATATTCCTTCAATTGTGTCAATCCCCTGGCAATCAAAAATAGAGTATAGAGGAAGATTTAAATATTTATTCTAAAAAAAAAATAATACTAACTAAAATCTATATATAAAGTTTATTAACTCCATTGCAAAATCTAAGTGGTCATCACAATCTTTTATATAAAGTTTGATGAACTGATCATTTTCAGAGGAACTTCAATGCATTTTGTACTTACTCTGTTATATTTGAATGTATGATATATGTCATCTGCAATCCATAGCCTACTACCTTTTCTGGGCTCTTGATCAGTAGATTGCACGTGAACAATTTCAAAAGCCATCATTTGTAGTAAATCATGCATATGTAAGGTGTTCCACATGTCAATAGTTATTAGAGCCTTATCAATGAGAACTTTGATTCCAGCAACTGTGAAGAAACCACAACCATCTAGTATTCCTTCCACAAAATCTTTACTCTTCCCTTTAAAGAAACAAGCGATGTTAAGAAATATATCTTTCTCGGTATTATCAAGTGAATCGTAACTTATTTTCAACACATTATGAATTTTCTTGTCCGGAATCTTTTGCAGTTTATCCAGTGTACTTTCCCATTCTTTTACGCTTTTTGAATAAAGGTGGCGGCCCAAGACTATAAGAGCCAATGGAACACCTCCAGCATAGTTTACCGCCCTTTTTGACAACTCTCTCTCTTTTTCGGTAGGAGACTTCTCCTTAAAAGCATGTAGAGAAAAGAGTTTAAGAGGATCATCATGATTTAATTCCTTAACCTCGTATGTTCCACTGACTTCAATATTTCGGAGAACTTGTTGATCTCTACTCGTTACAATAATTTTACTTTCAGGACCAAACCAATCACCAACTAACTGTTCGAATTGCTCTGCGTCATCAACATCATCAAAGACAACAAGCACCCTTTTTTTACGAAGCCTATCCTTTGTAAATGGTAAAGAGCTTTCGCCCTCCATCAATTCAGAAAAAATTTTATTTTTTAAATGGTTTGGTCCATGCTTCTTCCATTGTTCTCGAACATCTTCGAGAAAACTGCAAGCTTCAAATTGAGAAGATAACCGATTGAATACAGCACGCGCAAGAGTTGTTTTACCTATGCCACCAATGCCCCAAATGCCCACAGGACCAACATTTAATGAACCAATGTGTAACAACGATTCAATTTTCTCAATCCGCGTAACAACTCCAACCAAGCCCTTCAAATCATCCCTTGGCGTAGAAATATCCCTGAGTTTCTTAATTACAGCATCAACAATTGCATCAATTAATTTGGACTCTGACCTGCCATCATGTAAATGTACAAACATAATATAAAGATAGCGATTAGTATAAACGTATCACGTATGGATAATGCAGAAATAAGTAATTAAGAAATCAATTACCTAATATCTTTCATACTGATGATATAATATTTAAATGTTGAAAGATGCATAAATCATTGAAAGGGTGCTTTAGATAAGAGTCAATTAGGTTTATATATCTCTATAAAAATATAATGTACTATTCATGAGATTGTAAACTTAAAAATAATTATATTATGATTACCTAAACGACTTTGAAGTCCAGCCAAATATATTGGCTATTTTTCTCAAAGCGTCTCTCCACTCTTGCAATTTCTCATCTTCAATACGTGCCTCAAGTTTAGCAAACGCGGCCGCATAACTTCCTTATTGTTTTCTTACTTCTGATCGTTTAACATTGTAAAAAACAGGTAGAACTTCGGATTGTCCATCCGTTTTCTTGCATTGGAGAATGTACGCGAGTTCTTCTAAGCACCATCTTGACGAAGCATAGTCTTCCGACAAAATAATTAGACAAAGCTTTGATTCTTCAATTGCTCTCAAAAGCGTGGGTGATATTTCATCTCCCGTCTTGAGATCGTTCTCATCTATGAAGGCTTTGATTTTCTCTCGAGATAAAGCACTATGAAGATCGCTTGTAAAATTAGAACGGGTATCCTCGCCTCTAAAACTAATAAACCCATCGTATTTAATCTTCTTCAAAGTGATGTGAGAAGAGGAACCACCAGCAGCCATACTCATATTCCCCTACACCCCAAAATAATCAGAAAGCCACTTCCTTCATTCTGTATACACACATATATTCAGATCAAAAGTCAAGTTTTCCAAGCAATTAGTTTGTTTGTTTCTTTACAAGTGATTAGTAAAGAACATGTGGTTATAAATAATACGAGGGGCAGTTCCTACTTACTGAGCGAAAGCTCATTATGGAATGTTTATACTGTAGGTAAGCAACTGGCATATAATGCCTGATGGACTGACGGCGAGTGGACAAACGATGTGGAGATTGGGAAATGGATACTGCTCGCAGTATTTCCGCAATCAGTTTTATATTATAAATAGTTTTGCTAATTATGACTCTGAACTATATGTTAAGTGGTTTTAAGGATTATGGCTATTATTAAGTAAGTTTTAAAGAGTAGATATATATAAATATAGTTATATGTATATGCTTTGAAGAACAGATATGTTAAGGTTGTATATTTTGTTAAGAAAGCAATTCGTATCTTATGCTTACTATAAGACAAAAAAAAAAAAATGTTCCGCAAATTTTAAGAAATTTTAGTAAGTACAAGTATAAATTCAGCTACAGTAGCAGCCTCATAGGAGGGTCACTACAGTCATCATCATCGTCGTCATCGTCATCGTCGTCGTCGTCTTCCTCATCATCTTCTTCTTCTTCTTCAAAATATGTCGCCCCGCTTCCACTTGATCCAGACTCTTCACCAATGTCATTACCTTCTTTGTCTTCAAAGTTGAAACCAAATCTCTCTGCATCTTGTCGATATAGAAGACGGACGCCGCATTTCTTAACTTTTGATATGAGTGTTCGCCAAAAACCTATGCATAAAATGACTCCACGCAAGCGCACGCAATCGAACAAGTAATATAGTAATGAGTAAAGTATCGTCTCCACAGGGACTGAGTTAATTAGGAATTTTATTACAAAAACCAGTTTTTGTCAATGTAATTGAGAATAGTTTGAATGCCAAATTGATATTAATTAAGTGAAACGAATGTATAAAATCAATGACTGTAATTTAAATGTGACAAGAGGTAAAAGTCAACAGGATCTAAGCTCAAAACTGTGATTTAACGATGGATGAAGGCTAGGATTACTGATTTCCCCTCGGTTGCAACTCTGACCATGTTTTGTTATACGATTGCTGTAGCAAGGTTCATCTAGTCAACCTAAAATTCTACATAATCATCTTCCGACAGATTTATGCTTGTAGTTCCTTAAACCAAACCAACATATTCCTATGTGTTTTAGTTTACAAACCTGACGTTAAACATCAATTTTAATGGGTTGTATAAGATAATAATATATTCCTATACTATCTCTTATATTATCCAAGCTAGATCTAACTAAACCAACCTTTCCAGAATTAGCTTAAGTTTGTATTTTCTTACTAAATGATGGCATGTCACTTAATAGAAAGTAAACAATAAATACACTTGAATAAACCAGATGAAAATTACACAATCAATCAAAATAGGAAATAGATCTTCATTGCAACTCTGGTTCCATCAATAATCCTAGCTAAGGAATTTAGCTCATGTTTAGTTCAACAAAATCAGAATTAATAACAAATCCATAAGGTCTCGGAAAGTAAATACAGAGAGAAGGAGAAAACAGCTAAGCTAAAATCTGAGGTCAAAAACCACTGTGTATCCGTGCTGTACTCTCTTCTTCCAGCTCCAGCGTCCAAAATTCCCCTGTACTCTCTTCTGTCTCCGTTCTCAGCTCGTACAAGAATTCTGTGTGCCTCCACTATTTTCTTCTCTCTTTTCTGGCTCTCCCGTACTATGCTCTTCTTTTCCTTTATATACTAGGGCAGGTTGAGGTGCCCTAGTGATAAGTGTCTACATGAGAGTCATGATTGATGGTCCCCCCGCCTGGTGCTCTTACAGCTGTCCTGACTTGATAGCGTCAGTGCTTGGACCACTATCAGTGCTAAAGGACAAACTGCGCCAGCTTGCTAATTTTGGCTGCTCCTGCTTTTGCTGCGACTTTGCTGCAGCAGTGTTATGGCAATGGGGGCATTTCAGCCTTTGCGTTTTCCACCGCGCTTTTCTCACCAAATGCCTAAGTCAGCACTTCCTTTGGACAACCTGCACTAAATTCCCAGGGTCAACGCACTGATTTAAATTGAGGAATAACTTCAAAATATAGCAAGATTTCCCCATAAATACAACTTTCTGCCACACGGACAAAAACTAATAAATGCTATTCAAAATACTAACACAAAGGCATTTTACCCTGAGAATATAAACAAATATTAAGCCTAAAAGTATGCTAAATAACTCTATTTCTGTGAGTTATCAATGAGCACGTGAAGAAATTTTTATATCTGAAGTTTGAAAAGAAATTTTCACTGTAGCAGTACCAGGACCAGCTGTAGTGACCAAGAAAAATCCCATAATTTTAATAATATAATTCATGTATTCAAGTCAAGGATTTTCCTGGAAAATCATTATACTATGTACATTTTGTGATTGAAGGATTTATGGAATTAACATCTGCATTCCTAAATTCTGTAGTAGATTTCACGTTAGGTTCACATTTTCCCGATCAAGTAAATTCGATCGATAAATTCTCATCATACTTTAAAACGGAAGAATTTCCAGTACAAATACAGTTAGAGAATCTTAATTTTAAGAATCTCCCAGCACAGTACAAACTAGCATCCAGTACCCGTATACAGGAGAAAATAACTGTCAGTATGATTTTGGACAGTTTCAATGAGTAACTTAAGGGAATGGACAAAAGTACAAGGGGTAGGTTAGTGTGTGTGATTTGATGAGATGTGATGAGAGAGGTGAATAGGACTAATGATTAGTTTTTTTTT